TTATGAGAAAGTTTATGGGGGGGTTTCTTCTACCATTCAAGATGGCAGAATGTCCCAGAACCTCGCTCTGACACTGGCAGTACCACAGGGGCTGGGATTCAAACCTGCAGTGGTCTAATCTCTGCCCCAGTCCTTTAGCCACTGGGCCACAGGCCGACCCACTCAGTCACACCTGTATGCTGACCTGACCTCTGACCTGTCTTCACAGATTTACACAGACTGGGCCAATCACTACCTGGCCAAGTCAGGCTGCCCCCGTCTGATCAAGGACCTGAGTCAGGACATCACTGATGGAGTTCTGTTGGCCCAGATCATCCAGATCATAGGTACACACACACACACACACACACACACACACACACACACACACACACACACATAAATCAACATCTGGGTTGCGGACCAGAGATTCCACCTGTGGCAACTTCCAAAAAACAGAAAAACATTTGAATTTATACCTAACCATAAAATGTCACCAAACAGACCATGAACATTTAACGGAGTTGAGAATGAACTCCTGGCGCTCTCCCTCTCTCTCTCTCTCTCTCTCCCTCCCTCCCTCTCTCTGTCTCCCCCCGTCCCCCCCCCCTCTCTGAAACACTACCCTCCCAGCTCTCCAGAACAGACAATGAAGCCAAGAGGCCTGTCATTAATTCTCCGGCGGCAGCTGACGAATAAGGGAGCTCTGCTTCCCACAGCTAACTCACGCAGCGCTGCACCTCAGCCACACAAACATTTACAACCACACACTCATGCACATGCTCTCACACAAGCGGGGACACATTGCAGACACATTTCCTCGCAGCAGCTCAGGTCCACAGGCCTCCTGATGGATGAGGGACCAGAAGAACTCTGGAATATTACATTGTTTTTTTTTGGGGAGGGGGGGGGTAGAGAGGGGGGAGTTACTGTAAAATAAAGTTGTCTTCATTTTCTTTCTCCCCCACAAACAGCGAATGAGAAGGTGGAGGACATCAACGGCAGCCCCAGGAGTCAGTCCCAGATGGTGAGTCCTTCTAGAACTTCATCAAACCAGAACTGTTGTGTACAGGCTGCTAATGTGTCGCTGTACCAGTGTGTGGACACTAGGGGAGTGTATTGTCAAGAATCTGAACAATACAATATATTGTAATATACTGTGATACTACGATATATTGAGGTGTTTTTTTCACCAACGTAACATCAGTATGTGTTAATATACTGACATATTATACATTTGGAAACACGAGAGAAGAAAGAAAAGAAAAAGAAAAAGAACCAACACCAGGAATATTGGACTGAGAATTGGGGAGAAAAACTCAAGAACTGATGTTATAACTAGTTTAGGTATAACTATATATTTGTTGTTCATGAGTCTGATGAAGTGTAACAGTTGGTTCAGACTGAGGTCAGTTTGGACCAGTTTGACCAGTGCTCTACTCTGAGCTTTTATTCTGAAAGTCTCTGGACTTCTGGCTGCCATGTGTCTAATAGAGATGCTGTGGCATCTGGTTATCATGACGATGGTGTCTATTATGGTGTTGTCGTCACTCTGAGATAATTACCCCATCACTGTGAGCGTTTGGGCTGCACTGACATCTGCCCTTCTGCCACTAAGTGGCACTAGTCCAGAGTCCTCACCACTGCTCAGCACACACACACTGTAATGTCCGGGGCAACCACCAGGATGTCACGGTTTATTGTCAAGAATCTGAACAATACAATATATTGTAATATACTGTGATACTACGATATATTGAGGTGTTTTTTTCACCAACGTAACATCAGTATGTGTTAATATACTGACATATTATACATTTGGAAACACGAGAGAAGAAAGAAAAGAAAAAGAAAAAGAACCAACACCAGGAATATTGGACTGAGAATTGGGGAGAAAAACTCAAGAACTGATGTTATAACTAGTTTAGGTATAACTATATATTTGTTGTTCATGAGTCTGATGAAGTGTAACAGTTGGTTCAGACTGAGGTCAGTTTGGACCAGTTTGACCAGTGCTCTACTCTGAGCTTTTATTCTGAAAGTCTCTGGACTTCTGGCTGCCATGTGTCTAATAGAGATGCTGTGGCATCTGGTTATCATGACGATGGTGTCTATTATGGTGTTGTCGTCACTCTGAGATAATTACCCCATCACTGTGAGCGTTTGGGCTGCACTGA